GCCTTTCATGGCACTCAAGGACACCATACAATTAAAACACAATGCAATAAAACAAAGAATAAAATAGAGAATAAACATAACAATAAAAACATCATACATAACAATTAATAAAAAAACATTGTACATAACATACTGTTAAATAGAGTTAATGAGAGATGGCAGTTAAACTGAATATATCTGTTCAAAGAGAAGAGTTTAAATCTGTGATTTAAAAATGGAGTTGGTGGGAGAGTTTTTGATGTCCGGTGGGAGAGGGTTCCAGAGGTGGGGTGCTGAGGGACTAAAAACTCTTGAGCCCATAGTGGTCAGATGAACTGGCGGCTGAGTGAGTTGGATGGAGGAGCACCTGAGAGTGTGGGAAGGTGTGTTAATGTGGAGAAGTTCTGTGAGATACTGAGGGGCAAGATTATTAAGGGCTTTGAAGGTTAGAAGCAAGATTTTATAGGAAATGAGAAATTTGATAGGGAGCCAGTGACGATGCTTTAGGACAGATAAGGAGAAAAGTGAGTACTAGAACTGTAAAGACGATATTACTGATCTTCTTTTATGTTTTATACCCACCACCAAATAAATACATGGCTCCAGTTGAGGACAAGTACACGCCAGCAGAACCTGTCCTCGACGGTGTGTGTGGGTTTCCTTCACTCACAYGCCACCACTGGCCCGCCCCACTGTCGTCATGAAGACCAAGCTGGCAGCTGTGGCCTAAGAAGCCTGGATTACACTGACAGCGTTCTCCTTTCTGAAAGAACACATTAAAAGCAGTACTTTAAAAGAACATTGGGCCTCATGCAAAAACATGTTCGTATTCTTATCCTAAATTTCTCTTACTTTTGTTTGTACAAAGGGTTCGTACGAACATCACGTCAGATTCAACAAACTCTTCTATCTTCAGGAAAAGTGTGTAAATGAGCTGCGTAAATTTCACCTGTTTGTGTCCAGCTGCTCGTGCACGCGAGAGATTAGCATAATTACCACCCCAAAAACACCATATAAGGCCATGTTTCCTGCCTCAGATACAAGGAAGTGTTCATTCATGAAAATGACAGCGAAAACTAAAAAAAGAAACTTTACGAGTCCAGAGATTGAAGTCTGTCTGTCAGAGATCCAGAAAAGAAAATCTGTCATTTTTAGCAGGTCAGCTGTGGAATAAAAAGAGCTGCTAAAAGTATAAACAACTGTGTTAAATCATTTTCATTTATTCAGAAGCCGCAGCGCTGCGCACCATACACCCCCCACGCGCTGCGCGGTCGCAGGTGGTCTCAGATGCAGGTTTGAAATAAGCATTTTAAAATGTTTTCAAAATAAGTCTGGCACTTTGAAGAAAACCCAGGACTCACTGGAGGGATTATGCATCCCCTCTGGTCTGGGAACGTCTCAGAGTCCCCCAGGACAAGCTGGAAAGTGTCGCTGGGGAGAGCGGGGTCTCTCTACTGCTGCACCCAAACCCGATAGCGGAAAAGCCGGCCGGACGGACAATTTATATTGTTAGTCTAAATTATTACATTTAAAACTATAACTCTAATTCAAGCAGAATAGCCTATTGTCAACATAATTATGGAGTGTAATTTATTTTCAACTCAAAATATCTTCAAACTAACGAAATATAAAGTTATTAGTGAAGAAAATCCGTCTGGATAACAGCAGACTGGCTGCTTGTAAAATATACGACAGGTCTGGACCACTCGTGAATTTTGTTCGTATCTGAAAAAAATCTTACAATACGAAAACATTGGTGAATGCCACAAATTCTCCTAAATCACTCGTACGCACAACTTAAGAACAAATCTGTGCGTACGAACGGTTCTTGCATGAAGCCCATTAAATCTAACAACTGAATGACTTCCTCAAGGCTTTCTCAGGGGATGACAAAAATGGCTTTGTCTTCAGCTTTCTTTGTACCTTGTCACATTGGCCATTCAAGGAACAAGTCTGGGAGCACAGAGGACTTGTACAAGATGCTCCCCCCCAACCCTGATGACAGTGGCACTTTGATGTGGTGGAATCACAGCGACCATGCCCGCCACAAGCTCCAGGGCAAAGCGAGAAGGTGTAGGTTGCGTTAAAGCCCAGGAGGTTGTAATTAGCATCAGAGAAGAGATGGATAAGCATCTGAAAGTAAAATAAATAAGGAACACAGGTGAACCGTTGCTTCAATCTAAACTGAAAATGGTAAAACTGACTAAAGTTATGCTCCTGTCACGTTACCTTGCCAGACTTTGCTTCGATTGGTTCAGGCAATGAATTGCCACTTAGACTGGCAAGCAGAGGGCTCTGATAGGAGTCACCATCATACACAAACAAGTAGTCATAGGTACACTCTGTGTCCATAAAGGTGAAATTCAGAACGATGTGGTGACTGTTGCCAGGAGCTGAAAAATAAGAAAAACTTCCAGTGTAATTAATTCAAGTCTAATATTTCCTGCTAAAAAATAGCTAAAAGTAACTCAAGAGCTCACAACACTACTTTAGGATGTTCTACCTTTGATAAGCCACTCGCAATTCCCATTAACAGAGTAGTTTCCGGGGCCATCTGTGACATACCCCGGAGGTCCCCTCAGCACCTGTCTGTGGCCCTTGCAGTCCCCTGCCTGGCATACATGTGACTCAGCTGCTAGGAGAACCACCAGGAGGAGGACGGAGACAGGGATCGGGGAGGCCATCACTGGCACTGCCTGGATGATGGATAAAGGATGAACAGAATAAAAACAAAAATATATAAGATTATTCATCATGATATTCTGTAAAAATCTGGACCAGTTTTCAATTATGGCCAGTTGATTTACCAAAATGATCTACAACAGGTTAGATGACAAGTTTGATGGAAATCCAAAGACTAATTGCTTAAACAAGAAGAACCCCCTAAGCTGCACAGTTTATTTTTGCTTACTGATCTCACTGCGTAATGCTTTTTGAAGTCTAAATAATCCACCTATGTTAACAATGGTCCAAATTGTCATGAAGCAGCCTGGTGTAGCTGTGTGTTAGCAAATTGTACTAATAGCCTACAACGGAACAGGGATAAAACGTATCGCGAAACTATTTTTTGTCAAGATATAAAAACAAAAGGAAACATTAACACAGCTGACTGTAGCTGCACTTCTCACGTCGTCTGATCAAAACAGCAAACAGAAAAAAAGGTGGGCTCTCTGCTGACTACCATAACAAAGCTAACGGGGATGGGTTTGCTAAGCTAGCTAAGAGAAAACCGTTAACTGCTCGGGCTCGCTTTGTTATTATTAGCAGATGAAATCATCAAAACTTACCAATTCCTGTCTCTTTGGGCCCATGGTGATTTACATTGTCGCTGGACCTTTTAAGGTTAGCAGCCGCATTGGCTAACGTTGCGTTTTGGCGAAGGATGAACGCTGACAGCTAGCTAAGCTGGCTAGCTGCTATTAAATGTAATTGACTGCAGAGCAGAGGACGGAGGCTGCAACACTGGGCTCTCTGCTWGCAGCTCGCGAGCTAAAATCCAGATGCGCAGTCGTCAGTGGCTGCAGACCATGATAAATCATTCCTCGATGCAATTACAAAATGATTCGTATTTTAGAACTGAGAGCTGTCTGCTAGTAACTTGACATCTCAACCAGACACATACACCTTACTATTTGTCTGTAATTTCAGCGGCTTTAGCGACTCCTACTGCCCGTGTTATGCTCTGCACACACACTTTGTTTACAACACAAAAGACTGCAGCAGGGCCGAGCGCAAATGAGAGACAGCAGGCGCAAATCACCGCAGTGAAGTTAGTTTCAAGTTGGATTTTCGATATTCGAGCTCCGTGAATCAAGGGTTGTCTCCCTCTTGTCTAAAC